CCTCCTCCCTCATAGAAGGAGATCATATCTGAAACCCCAGGGACCACTTTATTGCAATCTATTTATTTAGCATCCCAAGGAAGAATTTCCAATAGTAACTATGTGACCTGGGGCAGGATACTGTCAGTGAGGTGCCCAGAGCTGCACCCTTCACCTCCCATCCCCTTAACCCACCAGGGTGTGGGTTCCAGCGGGGGCCTAGGGGTGCACCGCTGCTACACTGTCCCACTGCTTCCCTCTGTATCAATGTCTCAACCCAAAACTTGAAGCTCTTCTGACCAAAAGACTGGTGAGAGAAGAAAGGAGCTTATTCTCCCAGTCCCTGCTTCATACCATTCACATCCCAGAGCTGTGCCCAGACCAGGCCTACTGGGCAGCACAAAGGGGCAAGGAGAGCCCAGCCCCGAACCCAGAATTTTCCAAGCTCCCTGACCTTTTGAAGTTTTCACCTACCCATTCCAATTATCCCCATCCCTTCTCATCCCCTGCTTGGCTTCTCTGCATGTGGTCATCTACTGTGGCCTGGTGTGTAATGGGTTAAAAATAAGCCACTGCCTGACATCCCAACATTTGACACCCCAGCAATGTGTGACTCCAACATTCCACTATGCCATCCTGCAGCTGAAATGGGAACCCTGGCTGCCTTTCCAGCCCCAAACTCTTAGAGAGGATCTAGGAGGTGGAGGCCATGCCAGAGGACTTGGGGGAAAGGAGAGGGAGGAAAGATAGGAAGAGGGAGCTTAGCTAAAAAGCTTAACTCCTACTGAGTGAGATGAAAACAGGCTGAAAATACCATCTCAGGAGAGGACCTCACCCCAAGCAAGCCAATGAGCAGCCTTGCCAGACTACTGCTGGACTGAGAAATCCAGACGTTCGTCAGGCTTCTCTGCCAAGTGACTGTGTGGAAACCAAAGTGAGCCTGCCTGTGTTCTCCCTAGCTCCCACCCTCCCCGTGCTGCTGTGCTCTGCTCCTCCCCACACTTCCCTGCTCTAGTTCCCAGCTGCTGTAACGGAGCCGCCTTCAACTCTAACAATAAATCAAGTTCATTACAGATGCTGTAGTACTCTTAGGCTTTTTCTGACTCCATATATTGCTTAGTTGCTGGGCCCTGGCTTCCTCTCTGCTTCTCCAAGCACAGTCATTTATCTCAATGTCTTCGACAACTGAAAACAATTCCAGGACCCAGGGAAGCCAGAGAACATAGGTTGTGTGAAGAGAGAAAAGGATATGAAGAGCCAGCATAATTTCTGAAAATGGGTGACAATATCTGAGCCAACGGTGGGGACATACATTTGGTTTGAGGGAGGGAAGAGGGGTAGGAATCTCTGTGGGGTCAAAAGCTGAGGACTGAATAACCAGAATCAGATACATAGGGCAGGGGAACACCAAAGAGGTAAGGGGTTGAGGGGCCCTTAGAGATCCAGAGCCTGTTGAGATTGTAAACACCTCTCACTTGTGCAGTCAGGATTTTCATGGAGTAAAATGTTGGATTTTCCCCCTGCAGTGAAACCCTTTATATGTCCTGGGTATGTCAGGAGAGGCCAAGTTGTGAATGTGAATATATGAGCAGGGAGGGGGATATTCCAGCCCTCTTACTGTTCTGGGTTCTCCCAATGTAAAGATGTCAAGGAGTTAAAGAAAAGACATAACCCCTCTGTTGATTCCTCCTGACACTCCAAAGCACTGGAGTAAAAAATTGAGAGTGATTCCAAGGACCTGGTGAAAAGGCATTGTGTACCCTGTGGTGTTTCACAGAGATAGAACCTCTCTCCCCAAAATACTACACTCATTGAAGACATTTTGGGATGGTGGGCTGATTGCCATAGGGACCTCCTGGGATGCCTGATCTCTATATTTTTATAGCCCGTTCCTGTTTAACTACAAAGGCTTTTGACTAGTTCGAATTAATTCAGTCACAGACATAACTGACTTACAGTCACATTCATTCTTGAGTTCACAACGACATCATCACCACTACCACCATTCTCATTATTTCATATTTATTGAGCACTCATAATGTTCCGGCCCCCCATTCCAATGACAGCATTACCCCTCTTACCCACCCCCATATCTTTGGGAAAAGCTTCATAATCACACCTGGCCCTAAAGACACAATGATATAAGGACAAACCTCTTGGGGACGCTGGAGTGTTTGTTCTTTGGCCAGTCTGTCCCTGACACTACTACAGAAATATATATATGTGTGTGTATATATATATATATATATGTGTGTGTGTATATATATATATATATATATATATATATATATATATATATAAAATCTTTGCTCATGTCTATACAATATTGATCTCTGCTGATTGCTTAAAATAGAACCTGATTTTCTCTACTACAGCATCTCCTAAGCCAAAAAACCCACAACAAAAGGAGGCCTAGCTTCACAGATTGGCCAAGAACCCCCAGAGCATTTTAAGTAGTTACTCTGAAATTTTCACAGCAATCTAATACCTATTTTTCCATAGAGCTATTGCCCAAAGGAACAGGACTGGGGCAGAGAGGGCACTTGGGGATGATATGGAAATACCCATAAGTCCAGTCTAAAGACTAGCGGCCATGATGGATGTTTGTTTGGGAAGGGGACTCTTCCCCCACCCCTGCCATTTCAGACAGCCATCCTGGGCCCACCTGAGGAGTGCTAGCAAAGATAAGAGTCCCCCTGAATGCACATATGGTCTAAAGGTACTTTGAGAATTTGTGAATATTTCCCCAGAAAAGTGAAGACCTTGGAGTCCCCTTTTGTGCTTATTGTCCCCGGATGGAGTTCTTAAGCAATTAACAGGCATTTCCTTTAACAATCTGGAATTTCCTGGGATTCTCTGAGGAGGCTGGGTAATGATAGACCAGCCCACCTCTCAAAAGAAATCCTATTCAAGTCCAATGGCTTGGTGAGGAGCCAAGAGCTTCTATGAATATGGAAATGGCCCCTCACCAGCCCAGCTCCATCTAGTACAGGTATGCTTCATGCCAAGAGGACTGCTTCCTCAGACACCTCTGGTAAGGTCCAAGGCCTTTCGCTGGCAGGTGAGTTAGCCAACAGAAAAAGTTGCTAGCTCAAATGGCTGGTATAGTGTAACACCACCAATGAGAAAATGATTAATCACATGTTGCTGATGGAAGGGGTAAGTTTTGGTCATGGGCTAGAGACTGGCTCTGAGGGTTTGGATCACTAGATTGATACTGGGCTTGGGGAGCATCCTCTCCAGGCAATTGGTCAATCACCTCAGGAACCACGCAAGACTGCTGATTAACCTCCTCAGGGACCTCCTGGACCTGTAGATCACCCTCCTCAGGGAACTCTTGGGATGGTGTATCAACCTCAGGGATATCCTGAGACAATAGACTGGCTGTAGAAGCCTCTTGGGCCAGTCTGCCAACCTCCAAAGAAAACTGGCATGGTTGGCTGAGCTCCTCAGGGATCTCTTGGGCTGGCTTGCCAACTTCCACAAGGATTTCCTGGACCAGGCCACCAATCCCTTCAGGAAACCCATGGACCATCCTGCCAACTTCCACAGAGGTCCCCTGGCATGGCTGGTTAACCTCTTCAGGGTTCTCCTGGCAAAGCTGGCAAGCTTCCTCAGAAACTTTCTCGCACAGTTGGCTGCCCTTCTGGCACAGCGGGCTGATCTGAGGGACCTCCTGGCATGTCTGGTTAACATCATCATGTGTTTCCTTGCATGGCTGGCTGTTGTCAGGGACCTCCCGGCATGGCTGGCTGACCTCTTCAGGGATGTCTTGGCATGGCTGGCTAATGTCAGGGACATGTTGGCATGGCTGGCTGTCCTCCTCAGCAACCTCTTGGCATGGTTGGCTGGTTTCCATAGGTGGTTCCTGTGGAGACTGATTTAGTTCAAAAGGCTCTTGCTCTCCTCCTTCTATGAGCAGATTTTGTGCTCCATTCCCAGGGATCTCCTGGTGCATCCTAAGGCCTTGACATTCTTCAGTCGTGTGCGAACTTAGGGAGGGTTGATCACTGAAGCCAAATTGGCAGTTACCATCCACTGTAGTAGGGGAAGATGGACCAGCACTGGACACAGTGCTGGAAGGGCCACTGCTGTCTGTAAAGCAAAGTTGGGAGACCAAGTCAGGCAGAATAGATGGCCTATATTACTCATGTCTTGGGGAAAGAAGGTCTGAATTCTAAGTTATGCAGAGACTCCCAAGTTAGCCCAGCTCAGAAACTGTTGCTCTGGACAAACATATACTACAGGAGTAGCACTAAGGTACATCTAAGACTTCAGGAGAGCATGCTGAGGCCCACTTCATCCAGTTCTTTCACAATATATCCCTCTCCCAACTCCAAATTCTCAATCATACTTTGGAAGCATATGAACACTTTATCCCAGTGCCTCATAATTAGGGTTACTTAGCATCTCCGGAGATTCTAATTCTGTAGGTTTAGGGTAAAGGTGTGGGGTGAAGAGGGAGATGAGGGCAATATATTTTGTTGAAACACTCCCAATTAAATTTGATGTACATCTTTGGTTAAGAATCATTGCTTTAAAGCAATCAAAGTATTTCTGAGGCAGAGGTAATCACTGTTTATAGCCCAAGATACAAGTAAACAGAAGAATGTAGAAAATCCTTGTGAATCAACAATAGAAAGGAGAATGATTTACCTAAAGATGGAAGAACACCATGGAATCTCTAAATGGCAGCATTTCTTAATTAACTTTTCTGGGGGGCACTGACCCCTTTGAAACTCTAATGAAAGTCATGGACTATCTGACCAGAAAAATGTACATATGAATAGTCACACTTATCTTTCCATATAATTCCTGGGGTTCATAGACTTCACCCTGAAATCCATCCATGGATCTAAAGTTAAGACCCTATAAGTACTGGGACATATGCTGTTACAGGTTTGTGGATATTATATACATATATAATATAAAAACTAATTTCCCAGGTCCTGACAGAAGTAAAATGAAGGCTGCAGAGTCTTCAATTACACTGCGGGACAATTCCTACTCCAACCTCTACTTCTTCATTAATCTCTAGTAGGGGACTAATCTACTTTTCCCTTTGTAAATATTATATTATTGATGGTATTATAACTTTATATTTAAAGCACTCTGTTATCAATAATTATAGATTTTTGAAATAGGGGACACCTGAATATCTTGTAATCAAAGAGAACCTAGGAAAGCTGGCAAGCCCAAGCATACAAAGGCTCAATCAGTCATTAAGTTTAAGGTATGCCAGCAACCTCTTTTCTGTAAAGAATCACAGGAGGCATGCTTCAAGCAGAGAAGGAAAAAAAGGGGAACATGGTTTTGTGCCAACAAGGCTTATTTAAGGCAGAGAGACAGACCTGAAACTGCTTACAATGATGCTATACACCTGATACTGAAATTTAAAAAAACCCAAAAACTATAAAATGAATTCACTCAAGGGTAGAAGTAGCCTTAATGTTCAGTTAGTGGTTTGATTCAGGCAAATCAAAGAGGTCAGACAGAAGCATAAGCAGGAGAGGGACAAGAAGGGCACAGAACCATAAACGCTACAGGAGAGAGGTAAAAGGGACAATGACGAGATGAGGGTAGGATAATCTGAAATTCAGGGGGAGAATTCTCGGTGTTAGGAAGGAAAGTTTCTTCTGCACAGGTTGCCAGAAGAAGGGCAAAATTCAACCACTATTTACGCCAGTGCTGAAATATGAATCTTTGCTTAAGTCCTACCCAGGTAAAATAGTGCAAGGCATGTCTGATTTTAGCTATTCCCTAGAGGCAAGATGAAAAAGAGGATTTTCCATCACTGGTGTCTCTGGCCCTTATCTCCCCTCTACCACAGGTATCTCCCCCTCCCTACAATTACTCTAAGAATTCCCCGTGGCCCCAAGGTTCACAAGGATAATTAGTGATAGGCTAGAGATGATAAAGGAGAGATGGGAAAAAGCAGCACTTCAACTTGAGCTAGTAACTGAGAACAAGCAACTTGAGAGGAAGACCATGTAGAAAGTAGTAGCACATTCTATTTTTCTTCTCCCAGCTTTTCTATATATCCAGGTTTCCTCCCAAGTCATCTTTATTTGAGGAAGCTGTAGAAACCAAATGGGGATCTGAGAAGAATGAAGTCTCCATCCTGTCCTCCCCAAAGGACCCTCTGGACAATTATCTTTTAGGAGCCTCCCCAATGAGACAGAACAGGAATGGGGGTCAGAGGTGACAAGACAAAGTAAACAGATCCTCCCTTTATCTTGGAAGAGGCAGATGAGACTGCTTCCCTGACTGTTAATCCTGGCCTTTCAACCTTCATCTTCATTTCCCTTAAGGGACAGGTCTCTCACTCACCAATTCCTCCATCCCTCTTGGCCTTTGTCTAGGCAGTTCCAAAAGGACTACTTACACCAAGGGGGCTTCTCAGAGCGCTGCCGGAGTTGCATGGTAGGTGAATGAAGAGTACAGGGTAGGGAAAATGCACTATCTGAGGCCTGGTTGCTGTGCATAGACTCGAAAAGGGCTGGATAGGTCGAGGAGAGAGACAGAGAAAAAAAAAAGCATATGAAGAAGAATCCAAGTGCCACAGGTTCTCAACATAAGTCAAAACCAACTTATATTCTCTCAGGCTGAAAAGAGGCATCCTTCACACAAACCATTTTTAATATTTTAAATTTTATATTATAAATATTTTCAAATATATTTTTTAAAAGTCACTGAAAGACTAGTACAATCGATACCCATACACTCATCTTCTATATTTAACACATGTCAATATTTTGCCATACTTGTTTCATCTATTTCTTGGTGCTGAAGTTCTCTAAAGTAAATGAAAGACATCATGAATACTTTAATATATAATTCTAAAATATAAGGAATTTCTCCTATTTAGCCATATATGACTAATAAACCTAACAAAATTAAAAAATAATACCTAATATCATTTAATACCCAATCCATATTCAAATTTCTCCCAATTATTCCCAAAATGTCTTTTAGAGTAAGGTCCAAACATGAAAAATGCATTGCATTTAGTTATGTCTCCAAAGTCTCTTGTAATCTAAAATAGTGCCCTCCCATTTATTTTTTTCATAGTGACTTTTTGAAAAGAACAGTCAGTTATCTCACAGAATGTTATTTCCCACACTCTGGATTCATCTGATTGCTTCTTCATAAAACCATTTAATTTGTTTCACTCTCCCTCATATTTCCTATAAACTGGAAGTTAGCTGGTAGAGATTTCATTAGATTATTCAGTTTAAATAACTTTGGCAAGAATACCCAAAAAGGTGATCCTGTGTACTTTATATTATATTGGAGGTACATAATGTTTCATGGTCCCACTAAGTAAGACTAAATTTAAAGTGGTGCCCACAAAATCTCACCATTGTAAAGTTTCCCCCTTCTGATCAGAGGTGATCCTTTGATACCATGCAAACCCACCAACATTTCAACTATGTTAGTATCCATTGGTGATTCTGAATTATTTTATTAGGGGTGTCAAGTAGTGATTTTCTAATTCTATCAGTCCTTTTAACATTTATTAGTTGGCATATTTTCTGTAAAAAAGAATGTTCCCTCATCAACTGGGGCTATTTGATTACAATGAACTGCAGTTCTTAATGAAAAGATAGGATGTGTTTACTACCCTTTAATTAGTTTTCAGAGGAAAGAGTTGGTGAAAAATATTCTCCAATAGTGGCAGATGATAATTATTTTATTTTTGAGTTTTATTATTTTTATTATTATTTTATTTATGAGCTTATGGATTTTTATATATTCAGTGTACTTTAATTAATTACAACAAATTATTATTTTTGATGCTAAAATATTCCAGTTCTGGTCAGTGGGAGGCTCTTCAGGCTTGATTGCGACCTTGCTTTTGTTACATGTCTCAGGGTCACCTTGTGCCTTCCTTGCCCTAGACCATGCCTTCTCAACAAAGCTGGTTCTTGGTGAGGGTGAGAAAATTCTTAGGTATTCTATTGGTGTGTGTCCATCAAATGACCACAATACATAAATAAATATACAGTATATCTGTGATTAAAATTTTGTGTGGTGGGGAGTTATTAGGGAAAAAAATGCCTAAAGAGGCTTAGGGTGGGGGTAGGGGAGTGTGTGATTTTTTTTAAAAGGGTGAAAAAAGCCCTAGCCAGTTTGGCTCAGTGGTTAGAGTGTCGGCCCACAGACTGAAGTGTCCCGGGTTCGATTCTGGCCAAGGGCATGTACCTTGGTTGCAGGCTTGATCCCCAGTCCTGGTCAGGGAGTGTGTGGGAGGCAACCAATCTCACATTGATGTNTGGGGCACGTGCGGGAGGCAACCGATCGATGTGTCTCCCTCACATCAATGTTTCTCTCTGTCTCACTCCCCCCCACACTCTCTGAAATGCAATGGAAAAAATATCCTCAGGTGAAGATTAAAAAAATAATAATAATAAATGAAAAGGTGAAAAACATGCACTACACAAAGAATCAGTCATTTTCCCATGGAATCCTGGTAGTGGCAAATGATATGTAGAGACCAAATTATGCTCATTATTACAGCTGCTAATGCATAATGTTAGAAAAAGCACTAAAAAACCCTGAATTCATAGTGATGTTTTCAATTCAAATTTAAAATTACAGCATTTAAAAAAATCTTTTGAAATTATACTTGTATCTCATTTATCTTACCTTGAAAATCCTGGTTCCTAGTAACAGAAACATAATTACTTATTTGCATTACTATTATATATATAGTTTTAAAATGGTACCAATATCACTAATAATTAAATTATTGAATGAAGATTAAATTTTATAGTTCTTTTTGCCCCACTAAAAGGATTTATAGCCAGAGTACAATTATTCTAAAGTTATTTTTCTTAGTCAGTCTAGCTAAAGGTTTGTCCATTTTGTTGACTTTTTTCAAAGAACCAACTTTTGCTTTTTTTATTCTTCCTATTGTTTTTCTATTTTTTTTTTTTTTTTTAATCTCTGTTCCAATCTTTATTATTTTTTTTCTTCTTATGGCTTTGGGTTTAGTTTGCTCTTCTTTTTTCAGTTCCTAAGGTATAAAGTTAGATTTTTGATTTAAGATCTTTCTACTTTTTAATTTTTATTTGTTTACTTATTTTAAATGTTTTTATTTTATTTATTATTTATTTATTATTTACTTCAGAGAGAGGAAGGGAGAGGGAGAGATAGATAGAAACATCAATGATGAGAAAGAATCATGGATTGGCCACCTCCTGCACACCCCCACTGGGGATTGAGCCCACAATCTGGGCACATGGACTGACTGGGAATCAAACTGTGACCTCCTGGTTCACAGGTCTATGCTCAATCACTGAGCCAAGCTGGCAGGGCTGTTTTTATTGATTTTAGAGAGAGAAGAAGGGAGAGGGAAAGAGAGAAACATCAATGAGAAAGAAACATAGATCGGCTGCCTCCTACATGCCCTCTACTGCTGATGGAACCTGCAACCCAGGTACATGCCCTCGACCAGTAATTGAACTCAAGACCCTTTGGTGCTCAGGATGATGCTCTATCCACTGAGCCAAACTGGCCAGGGCTCTTTCTTCTTCTTCTTCTTTATTTTTTAATCCTCACCCGAGGATATTTTTTCCATTGCTTTTCAGAGGGAGTGGAAGGGAGACAGAAACATCTCTTGGTTGCCTCTCACATGAGCCCTGACCCGGGCCTGGGATCGAGCCTGCAACCAAGGTATGTGCCCTTGGCCGGAATCAAACCCAGGACCCTTTAGTCCACAGGCCAATGCTCTAACCACTGAGTCAAACTGTCTAGGGCTCTTTCTTCTTTTTTAAATGTAGGTGTTTACAGCTATAAATTCTCTTTTAGCGCTGATTTTGCTGCATCCCATAACTTCTGGTATGTTACATTTTTATTTTAATTCATCTCAAATTATATTCTAATTTCCCCTGTAATGGATCTCTGACCCATAGGTTGTTTAAGAATATGTTGTTTAATTTCCAAATATTTGTGAATTTTCCGATTTCCTTTCATTAGTGATTTCTAGCATCATTTCATTGTGATTGGGGAAGATATTTTATATAATTTCAATCTTTTAAAATTTTTCTAGAATTCTTTTGTGGCGTAACATATGGTCTATCCTGGAGACTATTCCATGTATACTTAAAAAGAATTTATATGACCCCAAAGGCAAGAGAAGTAAAAGTGAAAATAAATAAATGAGATTATATCTAACTAAAAAGCTTCTGTATAGCAAAAGAAACCTCCAACAAAACAAACAAGCAACCATCCAAATGGGAGAAGATATTTGCAAACAACAGCTCCAACAAGGGATTAACATCTTCCTGACTGGTCAGAAGTATACATGTGTTTCTGTGTCTGAACACTAACCGGCATGAGATAATTCTTATCTGCACTTACATTAACTTCAGTAATTTTAAACACCTTTTTGACTAAAGTAGCCAGCCACACAGGTGAGTTCTAGCTCGAAATAGCTGGTCAGCAAGGTTAATAACCAAAATATGTAAAGAACTCATACAACCCAACACCAAACAGACAATCCAATTAAAAAATGGGCAGAGGACCTCAACAGACACTTCTACCAAGAAGAAATACAAATGACCAACAGATATATGAAAAGATGCTCAACTTCACTAGCTATTAGGGAAATGCAAATCAAAACTACAATGAGATACCACCTCACACCTGTTAGAATGGCTATTATCAACAAGAAAGGTATTAAGTTGGAGAGGTTGTGGAGGAAAAGGAACCCTCAGCCACTGCTAGTGGGAATGTAAACTGGTAATAGCCACCACGGAAAACAGTATGAAGGTTCCTCAAAAAATTAACAGTAGAGTTACCATATGACCAAAGCAACCCCTCTTCTGGGTACCTACCTGAAAAATTTGAAAACATTTCTTTGCAAATATATATGCACCCCTATGTCCACTGCAGCATTATTCACAGTGGCCAAGACATGGAAACAACCTAAGTATTCCTCAATAGATGACTGGATAAAGAAGATGTGGTACATATATACAATGGAATATTATTCAGCTATAAAAAAGACAAAATACAACACTTGCAACAACATGAATGGATCTTGAGAATATCATGCTAAGTGAAATAAGTCAGATGGAAAAAGCCAAGAACAATACAATTTCACTCATATGGAGGATATAAAACTGAAAGCAACAAATGAATAAACAAGAAAAACAAACAAAAATAGACACAGACAACAGTATAGTAGTTACCAGAGGGAAGGAGAGGTAGGGTTAGTAAAGGATAAAGAGGGCCAAATATATGGTGACAGAAAAAGATCTAACTTTGGGTGGTAAACACAATGCAATATACATAAAATGTATCACAGAATTGTACACTTGAAACCTATGTAATTTTATTAACCAATGTCACCCCAATAAACTTAAAAAAAGAAGAATCTGTATTCTGCTGTTGTTGCGTGGAATGTTCTATAGTGTCTGTTAGGTTTAGTTAGCTTATGGTGTTAAGTTCTCTGTTTCCTTACTGATCTTCTGTCTAGCTGTTTATCCCTTATTAAAAGTAGGATAGCCCTGGACAGTGTGGCTCAGTTGGTTGGAGCGTTGTCGTGTACACTGAAAGGTCACAGGTTCAATCCAGGTTGGGGCACATAACTAGGCTGAGGGTTCCATCCCCAGCCCTGGTCAGGGCTCATGCTGGGGGAGGGGGACAGCTGATTGATGGCTCTCTCTCACATCGATGTTTCTCTCTCTCTCCCTTCCCCTCTCTCTAAAAAAAGTTAGTGAACATGTCCTCTGGTGAAGATTTTTTTTTAAAAAAGCATTGAAGTCTCCAACTATTATTGAAGAACTGTCTATCTCTCCCTTCAATTCTGTCAATGTTTGCTTCATTGTTGGGGCTCTGTTGTTCGGTGAGTATATGTTTATAATCATATGTTCCTGATGAATTGACATTTATCAAAATGTAATGACCTTCTCTGTCTCTTGTAAAAATTTTTGACTTAGACTATTTTGTCTGACATTAGTATACCCCAGCTCTCATTTGGTTATTATTTGCATGGAATATATCCTTTCACTTTCAACCTATTTGTGCCTAAAGTGAGCCTCTTGTAAACAAATAGTTGGATAATGTTTTAAAAATCCATTCTGCCAATCTCTGCCCTTTTTTGGAGAGTTTTACTCATTTACATTTAAAATAATTACTGATAAGGAAAGGCTTACTTCTGCCACTTTGCTATGTTTTCCGTATGTCATATAAATTTTTTGATCCTCATTTCCTCCATTACTGTCATCTGTTGTGTTTAATTGATTTTTTTGTAGTGAACTATTTTGATTCCTTCTCATTTCCTTTTCTGTATATGTTTTAGATATTTTCTTAGTGGTTACCATGGGGACTACACATAACATCCTAAATTTATAATACTCTTATTTGAATCTATAGCAATTTAGCTTCAATAACATACAAAAACTCTGCTCCTATAAAGGTCTGTCCCCACCTTATGTTGTTATTGTCACAAATTATCTTCATACATTATATGTCCATTAACACAGACTTACAATGATTTTTAAATAGATTTTTGTGTTAATTCATATATGTAACAAAAAGAGGAGCAGCAAATAAAAAATACTATAATGTTAGCTTTTATATTTACCAATGTAATACCTTTACGAGAGTTCTTTTATTTTTTGGTATGGCTTCAAGTTAGTCTAGTATCCTCTTATTTCAGCCTAAAATCCTCCTTTTAGCATTTATTGTAGGGCAGGTCTACTAGTGACAAACTCCCTCAGCTTTTGTTGCTCTGGGAATGTCTTAATTTATCCTTCATTTTTGAAGAGTTTTGCCAGATATAGAATTCTTGGTTGACAGTTGTTTTTTTTTCCTCTGGTACTTTAAATACATCATCCCACTGCTTTCTGGCCTCTATGGTTTCTGATGAGAAATGGGTTGTTAATCTTATTAAAGATCATTCCTATGTGACAAGTTGCTTTTTTCTTGCTACTTTCAAGATTTTCTGTCTTTGTTTTTTGACAATTTGATTATAATGTGTCCAGGTATAGATCTCTTTGCATTTATCTTTCAACTACTTGGTGGTATAGATTTGTGTCGTTATCAAATTTGAGTTTTCTGCCATTATTTCTTCAATTATTTTTTCTACCTCTTCCCTGTCTCTTCTCCTTCTGGGATTCCCATTATGCATACGTTGGTATATTTATGGTATACCACAAATCTCTTCAGCTTTGTTAATTTTTCTTCATTTATTTTTTTAAATATTTTTATTGATTTCAGAGAGAGAGGAAGCGGAGAGGGAGAGAGAGAAACATCAATGATGAGAGAGTCATTGATGGGTTGCCTCCTGCACACCCCCTGCTGGGGATGGAGCCCGAAACCCTGGCATGTGCCCTGACCGGGAATCGAACCACAATCTTCTGGATCATAGGTCACTGCTCAACCACTGAGCCACGCCAGCCAGACTCTTCATTCTTTTTTATTTCTCCTCTTCAGATTGGATGTTTTTCAAATGACCTATTTTTAAGTTTGCTGATTCTTTCTTCTGCGTGCTAAAATCTTCTAAGAAGTCCTCTAGTAAATTTGTCATTTCTGTTATTATACTTTTCAGCCCCAGAATTTGTTTGGTTTCTTTTTATATTTTCTATCTCTTTAATGATATTCTTTATTTGTTGAGACATCATTCTCCTGATTTCCTTTAGTTCTTTGTCCATGGTTTCCTTTCCTTATTTAAAATATTTGTCTAATAAGTCTAATGTCTGTGTTTCCTCAAGGACCATTTCTGTTCATTTCTTCTTTGAATGAACCACACCATCTTGTTTCTTTGCATATTTCATAATTTTTTGGTTGAAAACTGGACATTTTGAATATTATAATGTGTTAACTCTAAAAATCAAATTACCCCTCCCCCTCAGGGTTTCTTTTTGTTGTTTGCTGTGGTCTGTAGCTTTGTTTAGTAATTTTTCTAAACTATCTTTGTAAAGCCTGTCTTCTTTGTCATGTGTAGCCTGTGAAGTCTTTGTACCTTTGGTTTTTGTTCAGCTAGTGTTTTGACAAGGATTTTCTTGAATGTACCAGGAACCAAAAGAGGGGGAGGGGAAGGGGGTAAGGAGTATGAGAGGGGAGAAGAGAAGGAGCTCTCACAGTTGCAGATTGGTTCTATGTTGAGGTACTCCTTCAACACTTAGCCAGACTGTTTAGACACCTCCTTAGCCTTCACTCCCTGCTTGTGCTGAGTATAGAGTTTAGCCAGAGGTGAAAGTTTAGGGTCTTCTCATGTCTTTTGTCCTCAGGTGTCCTTCCCCAGGTATGTTCATGGCTTTTTAAATTTCCCAGTATATGTGGGTGCTTTTGAATGCCTAATTTCCTAAAGAAACTCTCTCCCCAGGTTTTCTTTTCAAGTTTTCCATATGCCTATTGTTTGCCTCAACTATAATTTTTTGCCCCAGACAGCATGTTGTTCATTTGCCTTATCATGTTTTTAAGAAACACCCTCTGCATAGACACAATTATACACTGAGTGAGTTCCAAGTTAGGTGAAACAAAGGTAAGCACCTTGTGTCAGTCCTTCAGGTAGCTCACACACAAGTTAGAACAAACACAATTCTTTGAGAACAAGGTCTAGTCTGCTCCCTCTGGAACCAGAGACCAGGGTCCCACACTGAGAGTCTGGGTTGCCAAGGGGGGGCGAGGAGTGGGAGAAGGTCAAGTAAAAATACTGGAAAGCTTCCTGCCAATTTTAGGTTACCTCCTCCTTGATTCAGAATTTTCCTGGTTGTTTCAAACCTGTGACTATTTTCCAGAGTTCCAATAATGTTGATTCTATCTGTTTTTGCTTGATTTTTTTGGTATTTCTGTAAAAGGACAAGCCCTTGGAGCTACCTACTGCATGGTTTAATTTTTACATTTAGATCTCTGATCTACATGGGGTTTATACTGGTATATAGCATGAAGTATGGATTCAATTTTAATTTTTATCAAATGACTATTAAGTTGTCCCAACTCCATTTATTAAAAAGTCTATCTTTCCCCCAGTATTTTGAAATAACTTCATCTATTTCTAAATTTTCTATTTTGTTTGTTTGATCTCTGTCTATTCCTATACCAATATTACACTGTTTTTATTATAGAAGTTTTATATAATGTTTTAAACTCAAGGTTTTCTTGGCTATTCTTGCCTGTTTATTTTTCAATGAGAACTTCAGAATCAATTTGTCTGACTTTAGAAAACCAGCAGTATTTTTAATGGGATCACACTAAGTTAATTAATTGATTGACTGATTGATTGATTAAAAAGTTTTTTATTGATTTCAGAGAGAGGGAGAGGGAGAGAGAGATAGAAACATCATTGATGAGAGAGAGTCATTCATTGGCTGCCTCCTGCATGTCCCCTGCTAGGGATTGAGCCCACAACCCAGGCATGTGGACTGACTGGGAATCAAACTGTGATCTCCTGGATCATAGGTCAATGCTCAACTGCTGAGCCATGCTGGTTGAGCGGATCACACTAAATTTATAAATTAACTTGGGAAGGAGTGAGAGTTTCATGATTTTGAGTTGGCCTATGCAATTAAACATTTTTTTCAAGTCTACTTTTGTATATATTTGGAATGCCTATCTTTTAAATTTATTACTCATGTTCTAGAAAGCATGGGAATGAGGGCAGAGATGGGGTACAAAACAAAAATATTCTCCATACCTGCAGATGCCTGTGCTTGGACATCAGTGTGGCGCTGGCAGACCCCGCTCAAGAATTCACTTACTTGACGCAGGGAAAGAGCATTATGCAGTGTTTCTAGGGGGTAGATGGTAGGCACCATGGAGCACCCTTCAAATCCTGTTAGAAAAGAAATGGGTAAAGTCAATATTATTTCTGCCCGATATATCCCAACTGGCCAAGGAAGCATGGAGAATCCCTGAGAGCCACCAGGAGACTCCGTGGCTTTTGGAGTATGGGGTATCCAAGATTCACATGACAGGGAACTCTTTAGAGCCCCAAAAGAAGTCTATTTCTGTCACCTCCAGATTTCCTAAAAAGTCTAACCTGCTAAGGCCTCCAGGTGAATCAAATCACCTCTCATCCTACCTATGGAGAGCCAGCAATGTCCCATGGAAAAATCAACAGAATCCCAATAGGGTAAACACCTACATTGCTCTTACACTTTCTGGGGGAATAAAACAAAGGTCCATAGATAAAGGGTGAAATTGTAGGTCTAAATGAGGTTAGGGAGGTCATGGAGCTGGGAAGAAACAGCAGATTTCAGGGATCATGTATAAGAGAACCAGATTAAGGAGGAGGGCATGTAATCTGAGAAGGGGTTCATGCAGATTTAGGATATGGGTAGAAAGGCTAGAATATTTGGAAGCAAGCTGGAGGGCATGCAATACATATGGAGTTCAGCCCAGGAAAATCACATGCATGAACAGGCTGGGGGATGAAAGTTCTTTCTTGGTCATTTCCATCACATCAAAGGTTCTCCCTTCTGTTCTCACTGGAAGACCCCAGACTTGCTAGGATTTCTTTATTCCATCAGGAAAATGAGGAAATCCCCTTAGAAGAAATAATAAATACTGATTCTCTGCTCTGAACCCAATAATTCCAATGTAGATCCACCATTCTGGGCAAGGTAAAGGGTAAACCTAAATGTGTAACCCCAATCCCAGGGCCTGTTGAAAAAAATATCCCCATTGGAGAATCAAGAAGCACACATCCCAACCACTTTTTCAGCCCCCAGTCTTTCCCATGCCTCTTCTACATCTCCTTAAATGAATTAAGGGTAGGCAGGACAGCAATATCTATGCAAGACATAGCCTCCTGTTCAACAATGACTAAAACCTCAAAAGAATTATACCTGATTTCCTTCTAACCTCTGGCTCTTGTTTTCTTCAAGGATTCAATTGAGACTTCTGTGCCTCAATTCCCCCCCTGTACTCTAGTGGCAGGAGAGCAAGAGTGGTACAGTCTCTAGGTCCTCAGAGTGGGTAGAAAAATGTTTGGATTTGAAGATGGTGGTAGAAGGTTATAGAGATAAGAACAGATTCCAGGGCAAGAGCTTAACCCTGTACTGAATAGAATTGGGAATGGGTAGCATTAGGAGGCAGTGAGGAAGGAATGAGCAGCCAATGCTATAGCTACCAGGCAGTCTGGCCCCAATCCCATTCAAGCAACTAAAATGCAAGTCACATAACCTTAGGGTAAATAAATGAAAGGAATAAGTGGGCTCTCCTGCCAGAAGTGCAATTAGCAAAGCAGTCAGTCCCAGCCAGGGTAGTGGCAGCAGCCAGCTTGGTGGCAGGGGGTACCGTAGAGGCACTCGGGGTCATCCTGGCCTGAGCGCAGCCAGTTCCGGAACAGGCGCAGGTGGTAGGAGCACTGGTGCAGGTGATGCGCCAGCGTGGCATCCAAGGAGACTGGCCGGCCCCCTGGGCAGTCAGAGGAAAAACGGCGCAGCAACCGGACCACAGGGTGCTGGTCATCCAGCAGCTCTGGAGGGGGTGGGGGTACCACGGCAGGAAGCACAAAGATAAAGAAAGAGAAGAGGGAGAGACAATGAGGGGGGCACTGACTGGCACAAGCATTACTGGGAAATGGAGCCACTCAGCTCCAAGGTAAGCTAAGAAAGAAGCAGAGATGGTCAGAGCCACTGGGCATCTCTTGCAGGAAAGAAGAGAGTTGGCATCACACAGTGAGTTTAAAAGAAGGGGCTAGTGAGGCCTCATCATACAGCAAGGCCCTTCCCTTTCTCATTGAGCATAATTCAGTCAGTACAGACAGAAGTCACATAATTCTGGAAGGGGGTAAGCTGGCTTGGGAGTTCTGTGGGAGCCCTGACAAGAGGTCCAGTATCCTGGATCGTTCTCAGACAAACTCCAGGTAGGTCCTACTTCTCAGTCTAATGTATTTATGAGATTTGGATAGAGATAAAAAGATCCAAAGTCACTCAGAGAAGAAGGTTGAGAATGGTATAGGATTATCAAGATAAAGTTTGAAGCTAAAAAGTCTCCTAAAGGCTCAAGCCAGGCCCTCTGGACCAGACCCTAAGATAGCCACAGATAGGGTAGGTGTTAGATACCTGGCATGGGAGATTGGCAGGAAACCAGGTGTAAAACAGAGCATGTAAAAAAATGGAATCAATATGTGAAAATACTATTATTGGCTCATCACCCTTTACTCTTATTCAGATATACAGATTCAAAAAAATGTTTGCATAAATCTCAGGATTTTGGAGACACGTATCCATTACAGAATCCAAAAGTTAGATAATTTTATATTTTCTTCCCACTGCTGGTGAGTCTAACTGCACTTTGTCCAGCTGGTTGGTGGAAAAGCTTCAATCCTGAACCACTTATTATTTTGCATGCTTGGCAAACTTTGTGGATATATGTGATTCAGCTGCAAAACGTTGAAGATAGTGAAAGGCATGTAGAAGCTCCAGGAACAGTAGGGAGAAGATCCTGGGGAAAAGATATGAGGTCTAAAGACCTGATGACAGGATGTTGGTACAGCGAAGGTAGCATCAAGGTAGCTGAGGATGGCTGCTCAGAACTCCCAGACCACAACTTGTTATATGGGGTGATCCAGGATCTCATGGTTTCCAGAGACCTTACATTGAATGTCAGGAGAGGTTTCAGCTCTACCCAGGCACTAACTGTACCAACAGCCAGACAGCTGTGTGAGTCCCTAGGAAATAAATGGGCTTGGCAAATCCAACTGGCACACTTTGACATCCTGGATAAGGGTAAGCCACAGTCTCTTTCTATCATATTAGTTTACTTTGGTGAGTTCAGTATGCAGTTTAGTAATGGGCCATGTTTGTATACTTGATGTAGTCAGGATAACCAAAGCTTATCAGGAATAGAGGCAATGATGGGCTGAGAGACGTTCTCCCCTCACAGCAAGGAGACAGCACTGCCTTGCCTCTTTTCTAAAGCCATGTCCAGTTTTTCCAGCTGCTATTTCAAAGCCAGACATGGCAAAGAGTTGGTGATTATGGAACAGTAGGCTGGCACATTGTTGTGACTAATCGGCCACAAGCAATTGCAGGCAGCACATCCACTCGGTAATTGCTGGGTCAGTCAAGCAAGATTTTGCCATGGGGTAGAGCCTTCATATTGCCCTGAGGGCCCCAATTAAACCTAGATAATTTTCTGCAAGAGATGTTAAGTCCAAATTTCTCCTATGGTCAACAAGTGGATCCCAGATTCTGGTTCTAAAGCACTATAGCCTCCAAGCTCAAGTACAAGAAGAACAAAGGGCAGAAGACCCCTGAGGAACTGTGCAGGGTGTTGGAAGAGATCTTGAATTTGCTTTCTTGCACTATACCTGAATTTTCCAGGTCTTTCTTCCTCTCCTCCTTTTGGTAGAATTAATTTTTCTTTTTTTCAACTGATGAGGCTGCTAACCAAGGTTTCAGGGAACTAAATATATATAGGTTTGAGGACTTGCTTTATGAATTTGGATCTTTTCTCCTAGGGCCTAAGAACTAAGAGATCTATAATTTGGCTCTGATTTCAGGGGCCCAAGTTCCTGGTACTATATTCTGTACCCTAACATGTCTCCCATGTCCAAGACCCAGGCTGTGAGGTTAGGGTTGGTGCATGAGGTTCTAATCTGGAGATAATTGTAGCACATGAAGGTCAGAAGAGTATGAAGCTAAATGTGAAGGTACAGCCATGCCACTCTGAATGGAGAGCTCCTGTCATAGGCACAAATGGGAGCAGGGGTGGGGGTATAAATTGAACGAGTATAAGCTAGTCAAACTAGGAAGATTTCAGCAGTGCCTAGTGGAGATGTATGGCCCAACAAGACTAAAATCTAGCAGCTACCACTGGCTGAGGAACAGAGGATCAGCGCCCAGAGGTTTTACAAGACAGAAAGCCAGGCTAATTTTACCTCCCTCAGAGAATCTCAGCTCTTGGACAGAAGAAAACCATATATAACAAAACTAGATTTATCTTGAAGACAAGAGACAATGCACAGAAAAACTAAAGATATAAAGGACAGATTCCAGAAATAGCTTTCTGAGATAGTGTGAGGCTTAGCGTGGTCTTTAGTAGCTTTCCACCATGGTGTACCGTGGCCAGGGCCAAAAACTGCAGAAGATGATGGTGCGGCCCATCAACTTTATCTTCAGATACTTGCAAAATAGATCTCAGATTCAGGTGTGGCTTTATGAGCAAGTGAATATGCGGATAGAGGCTGTATCATTGGTTTTGATGAGTATATGAGCCTCATATTAGATGATGCAGAAGAGATTCAGTTCTAAAACAAAGTTAAGAAAACAACTAGGTTGGATCATGCTAAAAGGAGATAATATTACTCTGCTCCAAAGTGTCTCCAACTAGAAATGACTAACAAAGTGAGAAATTGTTGAGAAGCAATACAGTTTGTGTTTTTTAGGTGTCCTTTGTTGGGAGTATAGTTCTTAAACATTTATTTATATTGCTTTCATTACCCTTATGTTATTACCAGATGACAATAAATGCTGTAGAATTGTTTTTATTTAAAAATTTACATTGCCCTGGCTGGTGTGGCTCTGTTGGCTGGAACATCATCCTGTACACCAAAAGGTGGCGGGTTTGATTCCCGGTCAGGGCACATACCCAGGTTGTGGGTTCGGTCCTGGTTGGAGTGCATTCAGGAGGCAAGTGATCGATATTTCTCTCTCACATTGATGTCTCTCTCTCCCCCTCTCCTCTCTTTAAAATCAATTTAAAAAAAGATTAAAGAAAAAACAGGGAGTAAGCCCTGGGGTTCGTCTGCCATACCCTACAAAGAGAACATAGTCCTTCAGTTTTTGGTCTCCCACCTTAGTGTAAGCAGGCCCAGTACTTCAATATTCTTGAAACATTACTCATTCCTAAGCTCCCCTAGAATCCCAGTAGACATCTCAACTCTTCACTTCAAGCTTCTTTGAGACAGCAGTGCCTAGGGAGGCTAGAGCTACATGGAAACCACGTGTAAAAACTCAAGGTACAATTCTTTTTCCTTTACCTACTACCTCCTACTCCTTTCTATCTCTCTTTTATCCCAGAACAAACTGGGCTCCCATTTTCCAAGCCCGGGCTCTAGGTTAGTAGTAACATAAAGCAAATGTCAGGAGCACAAGAACCACACCAAGTACACATAATGGTAGGATATAGGAATATGGAGATGGGAAACTATATACTTAAGAACAATGTCCTTATGGGTAGGCTTGGGACCTGGGAACTGCAGCATTGCTCCTGGAGGAAACAAACTATTGTCCACTCTAAATAAAGAGTTGGAGAAAAAACAGGGAGATCAAAATTACATAAACTAAGTTGTGGGGTGGGGGGGCAGGGAGAAGAAATAAGGATAATATAGGAAATACTATTCTCTTCCTAAGTCAGGGATCCATTATCATGTTTGTACAAAGCCCAGCAGTCATGTGATGGGAAAGAGAAAGGTTTAATTATGTTTTTGTAATGATGCTGAAAAAAGTGAAACAATGGTGATGATGGTGACCATGGAAGTAAGACCCTGAGTGGCCACAGGGATAGGGCAGCCAGGCTGCAGCCAAGGCTAAGGTTTGTCACACAAGGGATATGTCCCAAGAAGGACACTTAGTGAGTGTTTCATTCAGAGACAACAGGGTGTTGACACAGTGGAAGGAAAGGCACAGTCAGTGTCAGAACTCAGAGGTTAAGTGTCTGGAGGTGACATGGTGACAATGAATGATGCTGAGTCAGAAGCAAACGTACCGTTAGTCGGATGCTTTGCAAACGACACAGAAAATCGTTTTACGGCCGGGACAAACAAGAACTCTGGGGAGAAAAGACATCATGGGGATTATACCCACACCTGTCCCCACCCTCTGCTCTGGAACTTGCCAGCAACATACTCTGTTCTTTACTGTTAGTACATGGCCTGCTCCCACCCCCACCCTTAGATTCCCGACTACCACATTTCAATTTTTTCCTTTGGTATAATCTCTTCTTAGGAATCCATGTGTCATCTCTACCACAATACGGCCCACATACAACTCAAATTTCACCACCACATCCTCTTTCTCATCATTTAGAAATAAAATCTTTGTAGAAACTTTCATCCCTTCCGCCAATCTCCTTCCATATCATCTTTCCTGCATTGGCTAAGCAACCTCCCCGTCTCTCATTTCCTAGATTTTAACCAAGGCTCTACTACATTCTTCCTGATCATCATCCTTGGTCCTTACCCCTATAAGCCAGAATCCAGGAAAGAATACAAAGGCGGAGTAAATTGATGTAGCAGGGCTGTATGTGGGAGATTATGAAGGGATAAGCATAAATAAGTAATACTTATATGGTGAGAGGGAGTGCAAATGGAGGTGGATGGGATCTTGGTTCCTTCTCCCCTCTATAATTGATGAAGAAAACTTGTTATAAGGTCAGTATCAGTGCCATCTTAAGCATGAATAGTTCTTGAACTGTGTCCTTGCTAGAGGACAAATGAAGAAAACAGTTGCTCCCCTGAACCCACCCACATACCATCTCGATGCTTCAGACTGGCAGGTGGTAGCTTTTTGCCATGGCTGCGGGCGTAGTCCTGAAGATTCGGGGCGCTGGAGGAGCCACCCAGCACTGTGGTGCTGAACAGCCCTGTGCACTGTGAGCCTGCAAGGCCGGGAGTGCATTAGTAGCCACGCAAAGCTGCAATTACCACACAGAAGTACACACAACGCCACATGACAACATCAAGACACATACACACAGCCATTCAGAGCCACCATCATGTGGCTACTACACATAGCCACAAACAGCTTTCACTACTTTCATGAGCAAGCAAAGTGGAGATTCTCCTGAAGATCTACATGGCAGATACAAGAGACCACTACAATGCAGGGTTAATGGTATTAGGGGACTCAAAGCTACTGAAAGAGGTAGACTACGCTTTCCACATGGCTCTCAGGAATGCTAAAAGAATAGGCAATCACTCCAGATATCCCTAGTTTTGACTCAGTGTTCCTTACCCTGGATGTAGGGTTTGAAGAACCCACATATCCAATCCCTAATAGGTTTAAAAGGAAAGAACTTTGATTGAAACTAGAGACTAAGTTTTGATAAGTTTTCATAGGTTCCAATTTCTCCTGTTTTTCATCCAACATTCCCTTCCTTCTATCTCCCTTTAAGCCTTCTTACCTTTCCCAAGAAAGTATAAAACTCACTGACTTTTTAAAGCTGAAAGTGACTCAAAAATTATCCAGTTCAACCTTCTCATTTTGAGATGAAGACAATGAGATTCAAAAGGGATCTCATCTGCTCAAGATCATACAGTTTGTTAGGAGCTAAGCTGGACTAGAATCCAGTTCTCATGACTCTGAGGATCAAATGTGTTCGGTTAGGGAAAAAAAATAGTTATTTTTTCATCAAGAAGAAACAGGTTGTTTCTGAAGTGAAGATGGACACAAATTGAAAAGCATGTGAAGAGTCAGATGATTATATGTAGAGTATGCCTACTATGTGCTGAGCACCCTACTAAAAAGGAGGACCTAGTAAGCAGAAAACAACAAAAAAGGTGGTTTTTCCTGCTCTCAAAAGTTTGTCTTTTAAGCCCTATGCTCAAAGTCAGATGACCATACATATAAGTTCAAAGAAATCAAAGAGAACTCTATTACCAATCAGAGTAAATAAAACTTGAAAAATCTCTGAAGCAAATAAATCAAGCCAGTCATTGTCCCAAATATCTGATCAAGGGTAGGGCTGGGACTCATAGTCTCCTCTCCTACTATAGCCCATAAGGACAGAGTGGGAAGAAAGAGATAAGACTGACACCTGAGTTTGTAGGATTTGCCCCTCTACTTCCAAATCCATCTTAGACAAGACCCTGGGTTTGGCTTGGGAATTTAACATTCATAGGAGAGATGAATAAAGTAGAGAGGAGGTCAGTTTCTTTTGATCCCACAGAGAAGGGGCCATAGTTTTAGGGATCCCAGCATTTCGAGATCAACACAGAAATTAAGAAAGCTCAGACAGCTGATAATCTCCACCCTGGAATTCAGGACTGCTCTTCTATACAGCAACTTATCCTACCTTTCATGCTCAAATAGGCTCTAGAATGGGGTTTCAGAGAGTAATAAGGGTTGCTAAATATGTCTGTTTTTCTTCAGAGAAGCTAAAACTAACTGGCTCTGTCCCAGACCACCCCAAGCTTTTTGCTTCCTCCACTAAAGAATTTTCTGGTGCAGTCCTGCCAATCCTGCCCTGCCCAGTCCTTGGATCATCTCAGAGTGTAATCTAAACCTTACTAACACCATCTGTCAACTACCATGTGGATACCTCTGCCTTGTTCTTAACAGCACTCCCACTTAACTGGGCCAGACACACCTATCCAAGTCTTTTCCAGCCAACCTGAAACCTATTCTTTATGGGGACTTTTGGGATGAGAAGTCCATATCACAGATTTATACATTTGTCATTTATTTTTCATGCCCCAAACCATTTACTTCATTTCAGGGATCTAGAAGGCAACCTATTCTCATAAAATTAGCCTGAAAAGTTACCAAAATCTTTCTCCCTCTGCTGGTCCAAATGCTGACCATTTTGAGGCCAACAAATTGGCTGCCCAAAGCAAAGGTAACAGAAAAATCAAAGGAGCTAAATGGAGAGAATAATAGGACAAGACAGAAAGAGCCAGGGGACAAAGTCCAGAACCCATACAATTATCTGTCATTTTTAGTTACTGGTTCATAAGACACTGTGTTCAAAGGTAGCCCCTCCCAAGGACCACTCCCCGCTCCCAAAGAATACAATACCCTCTGAGGCTTGGTCCTTCCTTCAGTCTGTGTTCTTAGGAAAGGTTGAATGATGTTCTCCACCCCTCTCCAGGAATCAAAAAAATCAAGAGACATTCCCTCAAAGTCCTGAGAGAAGCCTCTGTCACTATACCAGTCTCACATTTGTCCCTCAATTTTCAGGAAGGAAGGAAAAAAAATTACAGGATTAGGAGAAGATGAAGGAGAGGGCATGGAGGTAGGAGGGGCCAGAGCAGGGATATAAATAAACATAGATCTCAGAAAGACATGGCACAAATTCTCCAAATGAGGAATATGACACTTATAGGGGTCACGAGTACCTCTATTTATAGCTCTGTCTCTGGTAACTCTGAAGATTCAGAGTCTCCATGGCCCCTTAAGGTCTGGGCTAGACTGGAGGGACAGATAAGGAATGAGAGGAGAAGCCAGAAAAATGCCCTTCAGCCAGAGAAATGGGGGTTGGTATAGAAAACCAGAAGACAAACACCTTCCTGGGATGTAAACAGTCATCTGGGATCAAAGTTCACACCTAAATATGGCTTCTCCAAATTCACCATCCCTCGCCCCACCAGAAAATTCCACTGACTGGATGACTTCATTACCACAATAAAACTCTGAAGAACAGACAGACACCCCTTCCCAACAACAGATGAGAGACACTGGAAAACCATACCTAGGCCACTCTGCTTCATCTCTGTTGGTGGCCGTGAAGACGAAAAGAGCCGGTAGCCACCAGGCCTGGAGGATGAAGTCTCAGAAAGCACCTGGAGAAAAAGGACTCTGTGTTACCATTCCCAACTTCCACTCAGCAGTCTAAATAAACCCAGATCCTGAATTTCTGCCCCTACAAAGCGAAGCAAGGTCAGAAAGTCTGGAAGAACAAAAGGATTTTTAAGGGAGAAGAAGAAGAAAAGAATGTAGTTTGCAGAGCAAAAGGAAACTGTTCAGAGAATCCTTCTATACTAGAAGGCATGTCTATTTCCAAGATGCCTGTCCCCATAGCCCTCCCATCCCAAAACTGAGAAATCAGTATTCAACCATTCTCAGTACTCAGCAGAGCAGGATTCCTTAATCTTATCTATCCCTCTGCAGGACTCAGAAAGCCAATCACAATAGCTCAGCCACAATAAGAAGTAAAGCGTGGCCACCCTCTCTTCTTTCCATGGGACAGCTATGGCTACAGAAACCATACTCAGTTTATTATTTCAACCGAGAAGCCCTCCCCTCCACTCCTACAGACATGAAACAGATTTCTTAAAAGCCCACAAGGGTCCAATCATACATCCTCCCACATACATATACCCACCCCACCTCCAACAGTGTTCAGGAGTCCCTAAATCCCAAAAGGCAAAGGCAAAGGCAGAAAAGGAAGATGAAGTAGGGAGGAACACCTGTGTGCAGGACGCCAGGTGAGTGGTGGACACAGCCCGGGGCTGTAGGCCGATGGCTAGGGAAGGCCGGGGGAGGTCTCCTGACCTCCGGCGGCGCCGTCCCCGCAAGGGGATCAGGTCCAGGTTCCCCGTGCACTGCATGTTCATGACCTGAAATCAGACCGGGTGGAAAGCCGGTCACGGCTCCTTTAACCCCCAGGCTCCCAAAAGCCCCAGTGCCCATTGGGCAGACCTAATTACAGGGCTGGAGAAAATGATTGCCTAGGGCACAGCTGCTATGAAGGTCACAGATTTTGTATTCTAAAACAGTCCAAAAACTGGGATGACAAGAGGAGAAGAAGGGATGGGGAAAGGGTTGTAGTTGATAGGGATAATATAGAATGAGAGGACATATTAATATTAAAAGGCTGTGTGACCAAGGAGAAGACAGAAGACTTCCTTGTAAATCTAAGGAACACATCTTAGGCAACAATCATCCTGGATGAGTAGCACTAGTAATTGAAAGGAAGAAATGTGATTACAACAGGAAGCTTCTTGGAGGCCTGAAAAAGTCAATTTCATCAAGTCTGAGAGATGATACACAGAGAGCTCTGTCTTTCCTATGTCTCTTAACTGCTTAAACCAGAAGAAAAAGGGTGTCAAGCACAACAGTGCCAGAGAGACTGGCAGACTACGTGAATGGGAAGACATTTAGATGGGAAGGAGCAGTTTACTGATGGGAGAATATGTCATTCTATTCATGTGAGTCTGAAGGATATTAGTGTACTGTGGCTATTAAGTTAACTTACACCTTGGAGAGAAAATGATACGTGCCCTACCTAAAGAAAATGAGTATTCACAACTTCAAATCCACCTTAAAATCATCAGGAAAAAACTGATGAGTCCAGAACAAAGACTAGTTTGTCTTCTCAGGTTTCTCCAAAATCTTAACTGTAAATCTCTTGCTGAACCTACATAAGCTAGTTATAGATTCTTTTGAGATATCCCTAAAATGGAAAGACCAATTCCTTTAAGACAGAACAGGCACAGAGCCAGGTGAACAGATTCATCTTTCAAAACAGGACTCAAATCAGACAGAGTCCCTGAGACTGGGATAAATCATGGGGGTCAAAAAAGAGTGTCCTTGGGCCAAAAGGGAAAAGAATCTTTCCATGAAAAACAGACCAAAAACCCCAGACTAGTTAGCTAGATACATGTGAGATTTACAATAGTTCCTTCCTCTGGTTAGAGAACTAGAACCAGGACTAGAGACAAATTCCAAAAATAGCAGAGCACAGGCCCACGGCCATAAACCTGCTCATTAGAACAAAGGGAACAGAGAGTCTTTCAGGCTTGATTCCCTTTCTAGGATGAGAGTATAGATAACCTTAAAGGGATTAATTTAAAGTGCCATATTTTTGCTCCTGTATGAGCTATAATCTTTACCCAAGGCAATAAAGAGATGGAGAGGGCCTAGCCTTTAATATCAATTGTACTGTTATCAATAGTAACTACTGTTTATTGAGCATCTATATGGTGGATAGTACTTATACTTTATAAATGAAAAAAATTGAGGCTTGGAAAAGTTAACTAACAGTCCAAGGTCACACAGCTTCTAAGTATCAGACTGGGATTTTAGCCCAGAGTTCATGTGGTTTCTACTATATTTCCTTTTAAAGAACTGCCTTTTCAAATTCATCCAGAGGCCTCCTCACACTCATCTCTTAAAATCCTTATCTCTCAGGCACCTCTCATTGGCATCTCTTTAATCTCAGAAGTAGCAACCAGTTTAAAGGAGCATTATTGGGAGACCAGCTTTTAAAAAGAGATTAAGTAAAACATAACCATCAGGGGCAGGAGGACTCTGCTTAAGGTTCCAAGAATCACCCACCAAGGGGATTCAGAGGATTCATGGATATTGTCTTATGAGCACTTCCACCACTTCTTTCTCCCAAGCCCCTCCCATTACCTCCATGGAACCAGCTTTTCGGTTACGAATGAGGGGTGATCTCCTTGGGAGGCCAGGACCCTCAGAGGGCTGGGGCGACGTCTGCAATGCCCGGTCTGGCTCATCTGATGCCTTCCTTGGGCACAGGTTCTCCATGCTGCCTTGGTCCGTTTTCATCTCCTCATTCTATGCAATAACAGGCATAGATAGGAGAGGTGTTAATAGCCTCCAGCCTCCTAATCTCAGACTTCCCAACCCTTTTACCTTTCCGTACTGTTTCCAAGTTTCCCACCACTTGGTTCCTGTATCCTCCAGTCCCAAATCCCAGCACTCTGACCCACCTCAGAAGAGGCTGGACGGAATCCATATCCAGCTGGGGCACTGCCTTCTTCCTCGACACCTTTCACTCCAGGACTGAAGTGCAACTCCACATGGAAGCGCTCCTCTGATAAGGGATCCTATGGGGCATCACCAGATAAAGAGGCAGTTGAAGGAGCTGGATATGGTGGTGGAAGACCAGGTAGGGAAAATAGAGAGGAACTCAAGAGGATATATCCTCCCAGGGCTGAGGTTTCAGTGTCTTACTGCACCCTGAGGCTGGTTTATAAGAGCTTCCAGTGTTACATAAAAGATCCTCGTTCCTTCACCTCCACCATTTGAGATTCACTACTTGGCATGACTTTCCAACTTCCACTTATATGACCCTCCCGATTCATCTCCCACAATAAGTCAGCTTTGCTACAGTGCATATAGCAGGACATTTAAAGATATCTTTGTGCCCTAGCCGGTTTGGTTCAGTGGTTAGAGCACTGACCCTGTGGACTAAAGGGTCCTGGGTTCAATTCCAGCCAAGGGCATATACCTTGATTGCAGGCTAGCCCCTGGTTGGGGCACGTACAGTAGGCAACCAATCAATGTGTCTCTCTCACATTGATGTTTCTCTCTCTCTCCCTCCCTCCCCACTCCCCTCCACTCTCTTTGAAAAGCAATGGAAAAAAATATCCTCGGGTGAAGATTAAAAAATAAATAAAATAAAAGATACTTTTGTACAGCCAGATGAAGAAGGTATATATGTAACAATTTTTTTTTAATCCTCACCTGAGGATATTTTTTCCTTTGCTTTTCAGAAAGACTGAAAAGGACAGAGAGAGAGAAATTCCGATGTGAGAGAGACCCACTGATTGGTTGCCTACTGCATGCGCACAGACTGGGGCCTGGAGGATAGAGCCTGCAACCAAGGTATGAGCCCTTGGCCAAAATCGAACCCAAGACCCCTCAGTCCAAAGGCCAACGCTCTAATCACTAAGCCAAACAGACTAGGGCTGTGTAATTATTTTTGAGAGAAAAAGAATCATTATAACATGTCCCAAATTCCATACTCTCCCTAATGCCAGAGCTTTGTTCTACGGTATCCCTTTGGCTCAACATCATCCCAAAACACCTTTTCTGTTCCAATAGCAACCTTCCAGATGCTCTGTGCCATGCTGTACCTAGGTGCCACATCTAGATGGACTCAAAAATTCTAAGGATAAAAAAGTTTTTTTCCTAAAATGGGATGGAGGAGAAAGAAGGGGCCCTCTCCTCATCCCACCCTGTTAGCTCCTCACCTGTGTGTTGTCCTCATAGAGCATGATGACAATCTGGGTCATGTAGTTGAGCTCTGAGATAGCACTAAGGTAAGCCAAAGCTCGCTGCCATTGTGCATCCTGGGTTTCCTACCGAAAGCAAGAAGAGGTAAGCCAATGCTTGCCGAGGGAGTCAGAGAATGGGCAGCAAGACAAGGAAAACAGAGAAAGCTTGTAGTAAAAAAAAAAAAGTATGAGGAGGAGAGTAAAAGAACACTGAAAAAAGATATTCATAGGCTGAAGGAAGAAGAAAGATCCTTACATCAAGAAGTCCCCCATAACGGAAGACATTGAGTAGGGAGTGGACGTGGCTTTCACTGGTGAAATAGAGACGTGTTCGAACATGGCGGCCTGGGGAGAGCACTCCTCGGGAGTACCTGAGGTAATAGCTAAGTCACTCACACCATCAAATAATCCGGAATCTTCCCACCCCTTCACAAACTTCCTCCTCCCACCTCAAAAACTTCTCCTCTCCTTTCCATCCCAGGGTCCCTTCCTTATATTCTTAGTTCCCCAAGCTGTCCCAGTCTGGTTTCCCCCAAGGGCTCCCCTGACATGCCCCTCCCTCCATCCAGCACCCCTCCCAGCCCTCCCTCACAGGGGATGCAGCTTGTTGACAGACTCATCCTCGTGGGTTCTCTGCAGGTCAAGTAGTATCTTCCGCAACAGTGGAAGACAGAAGCCCACGGCAATTTCCAGTTTCTCCTCCCGACTGATCCCGTACTCCTAGGGGCCACAGGCCAGGGATAAGTACCTCAGTGAATCCTGTTTTCCTCTTGCCTCATACTCTAAGGCTCAAGATCATGCTTGTCTTCACCTCAGGTCTAGGGCTTCTTTCATATCCACCATATTCCCCCTCTCCAGGTTTCTCCTCGGTTAGTCTCTTGTACTTACTCAGAGCCAGAGTAGACCCTGAGAATTCTAGCAACTCAACTAATTCCTTCTCTAAGTTTCCTTTCCCTGGTTCCCATACCACCCCTCCTTTCTGCCTTTTCTCTCCTTCCTTATCCAATACCCCTACCCCCAGGCTAGATCCCTTCTTTGAGACACACCTGGGGAATGACCACATCAGCCAATGCCTTAGAGAGATGTAGCAACTCTGCTGTGCCTTGAAGTCCCAGACTTGCATTGTGTTGCACATCATACTTGACACAATCATAGATGTCAGGGATCTTACTGATATCATAGCGCCCACTCTTCTGTCGAAAGTCACGCTCCAGCTTGCTCCAACGCTGTAGCATTAGCTCTAGTGTCTCACTGTGGTAGAGTTGCACGTCTGGAACGAAGACAGTCAGAAAAGCCCAGACTTTACCTCTAACAAAAGATCCTAACAAATATGAAGTAAATCCAGAAAGATAAGGATGCCTTGTCATTTAGGATAGGAGTGTCTGAGGAACCCATCCATACCTGAAACCTTGAAGGGAAGATAGTATTCATACCCACCTACAGAGTTGGGGTCCTGCATCCGTTCCCGAATCTGGTGAGTGAGGTTTTCAATCAGGGCAAATACCTGATCACAGACCTTTACAGGATTCTGGATGACAGCCATGGAGTTGAGTAGGGAAGTGCTTCCAGTAGGAGCCAGCTGTGGGGAATAGAGAGATGAAAAGCAAGATAGGCTCAGTGCCAATTGTCCAGATTCCTGTGAGCTTATTACAGAGACTGCCTGCAAATAATATCTGTTTGTTGGCTCACTCCAATGCATACTTTTAAGCTACTGGGCATACCAGCTGTTCTAAGGCCTTCAGACGAGGGGACTGCTCTAGCACACAGTCATTTAAGAAGGATTGATCTTAAAAGTCTTGGAGTCCAGAATAGACTTAGGTTCTTTTCTTGGGGGTTCTAAAAAAAAAACACATGGAAAATCCTGGGGAATAAAGATGAAACCCAAATCCCTCAAAACCTTCACAGAATGTTTTCATGAGTGGGTGGGTAATAAAGGTAACATTATCTTATTCCTCTAAATAAGATGATAGCTTGAACCCAGAGTAGAGGTGCTGCTTCAGAACTAGGTTCCAACTCAAGCTCTTAGGACAGTAACACTCAATGAAGAATGAGAAGAGTGGGTGGACTGCACACATTCCAGCTAGGTCCTTATGAGTTCTCTTCTTGCTAGCAAAAGGAAGAAAGGGAGACAGGAAAGGTGGCTTAGTTTTTTGGATCTGACACTGAGCAACCAACTGGAAAATAAGGGAGCAAGATCCTGCCCTTATCAAATCCTTCTCAGAGAAGAACACAGAAAAAGCAATGTGCTCAGCTACTTGGCTCATTTAAGAATCTATAAAAAATGGTTGTACAACAGTGTGAATGTATTTAATGCCACTGAATTGTACATTTAAAAGTGGTACTATGCCCGGCTGGGCGTGGCTCAGTGGTTGAGCATCGACCTAGGATCTAGGCGATTGGGGTTCGATTCCCGGTCAGGGCACATGCCTGGGTTGTGGGCTTGATCAATGACTCTCTCATCATTGATGTTTCTGTCTCTTTCTCGCCCTATCCTTTCCTCTCTCTGAAATCAATAAAGATATATTAAAAAAAAAAAAAAGTGGTACTACAATTTAAAGAAATAATTTTTTTTAAAGAATCTATCAGAAATGAGGAACTATCAGTGGTAGGATTGTGGAAAATCATTGTCTGGCATATGATCCCCAGTCAAAAGTGGCCTGGATACACAGGAAGAAGGATGCATTGCGTAACGGCATCCACTGTGATCAATCCTGTGAGGCAGTATAGGGCAGTGGCTAACAGCCTGGGCTCTTGGGTTAGGCTACTTGAGTTCATACTAACTGGATGACCTTGAAAAGGTTGCTTAGATTCTTCCGGGCCTATGTTTCATTATCTGTAAAATGGGGAAAAAGTAGTACAGGTCCACAGTTCTTATGGTGGATTAAAGATGGCCATTAATTCTTTGTCATTTTCCCCTTCCCTTGAATCTATGCTGCCCTTGTGACTAACAAAAAATAACAAAATTATGTTAGGCTAACTCTGGACCTACACTTTAAAAAAGCTTGGAAGCTTCTGCTGTGGTGGAGTCCTAAGCTAGCATTTAAGAAGTCTGGCTACCATGCTAGAGAAACCATATGGAGAAAACATGTGGAAAGGGGAGGCCTTGAGACCACAGAGAGAGCATGAAAAGAGAGTCCAGCCATCCCAGTATCCTAGTCAAGCCTCCAGATAGTTCCAACAGCTCTAACATCTGGATAACATCTGGGCAATTTTAGGAGAGACCCCAAACAAGACCAGTTGAGCCTAGAACTGTGAGTAAGACAATAAAATAGTGGTTGTTTTAAGTTACTGAGTTTTGGGATAGTTTTTAATGCAGCAATAAATAATTAAAACATTTTTTCATTCAAAATCCTTGGGACAAGCTATGTTTGGAATTGAGAATTTTTCAAACTTTAGGAAGTTAATACAGTGCATATACTATATGTTATATAATACTTCCAGCAGCGCCTAATGCATAATCAAACACGTTTATATTTATGCAGCAAAATACATGACTATTTACACTAAATGGGATAAATAGGAATTAGAAATATTTATCATGTCAGGTTTTGCTGCCAAGTGAATCTTGGTGTCAAACCTATAAAAATCTTTTGATTTCTGAAATTGTGGATAAGAGACTGTGGATCCATACTTATCTCAAAGGGTAAGGATTAAATGAAATGAAATAATGTATGGAAAATGTAAAAGAGTACTTGGCACATGGTAAGTACCATTACTGATCAGTATTATTTAGAATTCTAGAAATTTGAGATCAGGGGTATATTGGCCAGAAGAGCAGAGAGCCTGACCTGATCATAATCCTCAGGGCCAAAGGGTACATCCCGCTGCAAGATATGGTGAAGTTGAGCCTTCACCCGGTGCTGGCAGCTGCTCAAGGAATCACCATCGCTGTCCAGGAGCCCATTCATGTTGGCACTCTTCACCATTTGTACCAAAATGGGTGTCAGCTCCCCTTCTAGAGCCAAAAGGCCCTGGAAAGGAAGCACAAAGTATATTAGTTTTCCTTCCAGTTTAGCATAGTCCCCCTAGGCCTAGATGATTTGAGAGATCAAATGAGAGCTGGCTAGGAGAACTGGGGTATAGTTCAAAGGGCCTATCCTCACTAATTATTCTCAGCTCATTCTCAGTAGCACAGAATGGGGTCAGACACAAGAAGAAATTTCTCTGAGTCAGCACACAAATACCCTAAAATTTCCCATCTAGTTCTCCAAACTTTCTGCTTCTCTACCTAAAGGAAGCTGGGACTGTGAGAGAACTGTAGGGTGCACCTTGGCAAAGGCAGCAGCAGTCATCTGGACACGGCCCTCATCAGAGGCATAGATCTTGAGATCATGGCGGAAAGTGCTGTGAAGACGAAGCAGCCCACAGCCAGGGAAGCCAGCATAGTCACCTGGGGGCAAAGGGAAGGACCAGGAATGCATATTGCAAATACCCACATGGAAGAAAGAATGCTCATTCTCCCTTTAACTTCCCCATTGTCTCAGTCCTTCCATTTCCCCAACTTAACCTCTAATCATTTTATCCCAGCCCAGCTAGGTTTACTCCCCAAAACACTCACCCTGTCCTCCAGGGTACATGCAGCGAAAAGCTCTCCCCAGCTCCTCAGCCTGAACACGGCCAGCAGGAGTCAATTCTCCACCCCACTTCAGTACCAGCAGGAGAGATGGGGCCAGAGCCTCCTGCTGTGGATCTGTGGGAATAAAGGGCAATAAATAGGTCTAGATTTGAGGAAAATACTGGGACATCTAAATGTTAGGTCTCTTAAGGAGCCCAGAAAGGTAGTCAGTGGTAGAGGCATCTAAGGGTTCAAGAGGCTATTATATCTTACCTTGCCCCTCATTAGAAGCTTTTACTCCATGAGGATAGTAAGTCAACTGCACCTTCCGGTTGATGCCTGAGAAATGACCATACCTGCGGGGTAAAGTCATAGTTGAGTTTCTATCCCAGTCCCCAATTCTCACTGTTAAAAGGCTCCCTTTTCCTATTCCCTTTCTCACATCTCCAGCACAGACTTCAGCTGTTCTAGTTTCCCAGTCTTCTCCTCGATCTCACCACCTGGTTCTTTCTCCAGTTCCGCCAATAGCAGCCTTGCAATGTCCAGCACTTCCTGGAGGAAATAATAGGGTATCCATGCAGAAGGCCAAGTCTTTGGCCAGTTACCCTTTCCTCCTGGTCTCTCATGGAGGCCCCCAATCCCATACCCTCTATCTTTCTCATAGCTCTTCTCCTCCAAGCCAGATTCACCATCTTACCTGTAGCTGCTCGGGCCGCTTTAGTTTTAATTTCCCTGTCTTGTAGCCACCATGTTCTTTAAATAGACTAAAAAACCTGAAGAAATAAGGAGAAGCTTCAGTATGGGGTGAGACAGTAAAAGCCTCTGGAAGCTACCCCTTCCCATTTCCCTCACAAAAATCTATTTGTCTAAATTAGGGCACTCTTCCTACCTTGGGTGTGTCACTTCCATCTTCATCTTCTGCTTGGGGGTACGATCCCCATGCCGAATAATTGCAATGACACAACGAAGTTCCATCCTAAGATAGGGAATGTTTTTAGAGCCTCTCCCCCATCCCACCCCATCCCACCTCCCATCATTTTATCCTACTTGACATGTCAAAGAACAGAGGAAAACTATGTGCAGTTGGGAATATAAGTCAGGTTAAGAAAATTGCCTAGAAGAGACCCAGGCTCCACTAGTCAGAATGCACAGGGTCAGGAAGTAACCACTGGTCTGACTTAGGTGCCTTAAGCAGGTTACTCCAGATTTTTTACTTTTGCTCACATAGTGCCAGATGTGGTAGGGACAATGGGAATGTCCTCGGCCTCTGTGGGGATTGACCATGGGATCTGGAACTGTGGAGCAAGTTCCCGCATTATTGTGTTCCTAGAAGAAATATGAAGAAGCTGTGTGAAAGTGAATGAACCAGAACTACACATAGGAATGAAGCTCACAAAAACTAGCACATTGTAGAAAAATATGTTAATATAAAATCTAAAAGGATGCAAAAAAGACACCCCCATATTTGTAGTAAAAGCATTAATAAATGTATGAGATTAACAAATACAAAACACCTCTGGGTGGGAAGGAAGAGGATGTAATTAGTGAGGGGTATGAAGGGGCTTAATAACTATATCCTTAATATTTTATTTCTTAAGCTTAATTGTGAATACAGGGATACTCACCATGTTCATCATTTCTTATACATTTTTGAATGTTTTAAATATTATGCGATGAATTTTTTTAAAGTCAAGTTGTTAAACAGTATTACAGTATGATTACATTTAATACAATAAATGTAATTTGTTTATACATGGCAAAAAAACACATACTATTACATCTAAGATTGTTAACAGTAATTACCTCTGGGTAGCGCAGTGCTGGGAAGGCAAGAGGGCTGAGGAGCCCTTTTTCTATTTCCCTTTTAAATTATTTTGACAATATTTAAAATAAAGTAAAAGCTTTCTAACTCTCTTCTTTAAGCCCATTCTCCCCAGCCCAAACCACTGTGTCCCTTACCCCAGAATCTTGGCACAGTCGTCATAGTATTTCATCGAATTCTTGACAAAACTAAAGCCATTGACATCACACACAAAGGAATGACCATTGGCACGAAGAAGGTCAAAACCGCAAACTGTTTGCTGCAGGGCAAAGAGAAAAGATGAGAACAAGAGAGCCGTTCTTTCTTCCCAGACCCCTTTTCCTATCTGTCTCCCTCAGCCTCCCTCATTACACAGCACCCCTCATCCTTATGGGGCTTTACCTTAAAAGCTACGCAGACTTTCCTGGCCACCAGCTTTTCCATGGCGGTCAGCATGACTGGATATCGAATTTCTTTCCCTTCACTGTCTCGTTCGACCTTCCCATCCAAAGCTGGAGATTTTCTGGCTTCAGCGTGGGCATAATCTGGCCCCACTGTATATACCTGCAGGTACATAGCATCACTGAGTATGCCCATAGCTCACCCTGTATATGAGAAGACAGTATGAGCACTAGGTCTGTATACTAGTTTCAGAGTAAAAAAACAAAAAAAAAACCCACAAAAATACACCCTAAGCATTAAGAACAAGGAGACTGACATTTTTCTTACTGAGCCCTACTGAAATATCATTATGAAGGTTCCCGCTAGGGACTCCAACACTATCATCTAGTCCTTACTAAGAAATAACTTACCAATATTATACCATCTTCCATGTCACCATTGCTCTTGCTATGAGAGTAACAATTTATGTATCTACTTCCCTCGCTTATTATCTTCAACTGAATATGAAAGTCACTCACGTTCACTCTTTATTTTCTATGACCCCCTCCACACACTTCCACTTGCTCCCCAAGTCCCCATTCCACCTAGACATTTATAACCTCTTAAATCCCTGTATCCACCATAACCTTGACATCTGTGCCATCTGTTGGCATAAACTCCTCATAGATGTATGACCCTGTCTTTCGGACGCTGCTCTCAGGAGAGTAAACGCTGCTTCGGCTGCCAATCTTTGGGAGGAAAAGGAAGAAAAAAAGAATGTTGCCTCTACTTTGTCCCCAAATCCTCCAGCTTCCCTCCCCACAACCTCATTCTTGTTCCTTCAACTTTTCTGATGCCCCCACACCTTACGAAAGAGGCGCTGGCTTCCTCCTCCAGCTGAGCTGGGGTAGTAGATGTAAACATTGTGGTCCTCTGCACTCACTGGCTTCTCCACAAATGGTTTGGGAAAGACAGCTCCATTTACCTCTACCTGGTCTTCACCTTCTATCAGGTTGCACTCTGGAAAGTAGGTATGAGGATTGTAGAATACTTCCAACTCCTTTTTCTTCAAGTTTTCATCTCCATAATCCTCAAATTTCTATGACCATATGTTAGTAATAAATATGGCAATATCTATATGGTATATAGATATAGTAATATCTATATAAGAGGTTCAAGGCTGAGTCCAAAGACCCATGGCTCTAACTCAATCCATAATCTAAAAACCAAAGCCTCACTTAAAAAGATGTCTAGAGGATGAAGAACTGGGCTAAGTCATAGAAAACAAGGCAGGGCAGGACTGGACAAGACCAGGTACTCACCCTCAGGCCGGGCAGGGTCACGGTTGAGCACAGCATATCGAGGCAGATCAATACCCTCCTCTTGCAGGATCCGGTACACCTCCCTCCTGTCACCCCCAGAATAAGTTAGCTGGGAGAGGTGGGGATGGTTACTATGGGGAAGGACTAGGGATTTCATTTGCTCAAGAACTGGGAGATACCAGGGTGTAGAACTCAAGAGGGTATGATATAAAAATTAAGCATGTTTGTCTGACTCTACCCCTCCCAGAGTGGATTCTTTAAACAGGCATGATCTCAGGGCCACCCATCCCACCAGTCAACAGAAAGCTATACCTATCCTGGATGTAATACTGCATAGCCAGGTCATTGATAAGAAAGGGGTTTCGAAGCTTGGAGTAAGCAACAGCTTTGTCCAGAGGAAAGCCTGGGATGGAAAAAGGAAATAAAGACCAAAGAAAGTGAAAGAGACAGAGTGAGAAAACAGCAAGAGAAATAGATGTATTAAAGCTATTAGTTGCCATTGAGCTCCTCTACCCACCTACCCCATCCCTTATCCTTCAACCCAATTTCCCAAATCTAGAATGGCCATCAGAAAAAAGTAAAAAAAGAAATTACTTTTAGGGTCCTTCCAGATGCCTAATTCTGTCAGAGATCCTAAAAGCCTTAGAGCTGTCCTGGGGTTCAAATAGGGGCTTTACACTACCGGCAGCAACTCCCCTAAGATGTAGTAAAAGCAAACCCCTTTGCACTGCTCTCTAGTGTGTCAGGAAGAATTGAAGGTCTCTTTACTATTCGACAGTAAGAACCTCACTTCCCAGTCCAACATTACCAACACCATTCCTTCCCATTTTCCTTCACAGACCCTAACCTTTGGAGTGGAAGGAAATGAGGCAGTGGCAGGATGGCCAGTTTTCCACAGGTTCATTGAGGATCACATCTTCTCCCAGGATAATAACAGTCAGGTAGTCAAATCTGCAGAGTCGCTCTAGGATTTGTGTCATTGGCTTGGACTTGGATTTCTTGGTCATGGCACAGATGCCAACAATGATCTGAGGTTCAGGAGGCTACAGGGAGGAAGCGCTGTTAGGAACTCAGGAACTTCCCACCTGGACCATCCTATCAGCGAACACTGTCTCATGTCCCTTAGGACAGAGTTTCTTATCAGGACTTTGAACCTATGGAGTAAAAGTTGTCTCCTAACTTAGGTCTAGATTGGGGTGCCTGTAGGGATTCCTGCTGCCTACAGAATAGGAGCCTTTCCATAGTAGGAAATGTATGCTCAGGCAGAAAAGCCAGGGAACCAATAACCATGAGACAATAGGGTGGGGGCTTCAAAGGGAAGCAATCCAACCAATCTCATTCCTCCTCCCCTTAATCAGGATAGGGCCTGTTTATGAGGGTGATTCTATGCATTTGGAAAGAATAGCAAGGTGTCTCCATCCAAACAGAATCTCAGTTCTTTCTAACAGGGGTCCCAATACCAAGTTACGTCATTTTCTCTAGTCTTACCACTTCATCCTCCTCATCCTCCAGGAGCTCGCTGTCACTTTCTTCTGTCCTCATGCCTATTCGATGGGTGCCCAGCCCTTCATCTCCAGCTCCAAGGAAGAAGTGGGCTGTGGCACTCCCGCTCTCACTGGCCGGAAAGGACCACATCCCCGCCGGAGCACCCACTCATCCCGCTCTGCAACGGAGGGTATCCCACTAGCCCAGAATCCAAGCCCGGTGACAGCAGGTAGGGGTGGGGGATGGGTGGTGAGGAAATAAAAGGTAACAACAAGGGAACTAGGGGAAATAAACAAAACTATGGTAAAAAGGATCAATGGGAAAGGAAGCATGTGGGCTACAACTTGAAATGACTACAGAACCGTAAGAGAAAAGCAAGGCCTCCCCTGTCCTCCTGGCTCACCCACCTCCAACGGTGGGGGCTGATAAGAGATTAACCCTTACAGTGCTGGCATGTCCCTGATTCTGCCAGCAGGAAACACCGTCAACTCCAGTAGCAAATGGGAAAGGCAGTTCCTCATGGAAGGCTACTGTCAATTCCTATGAAAAAAGGTTAAAGTGACATTTCAAACTGGATTCATTCCAAAATGTTCCTAACCATTCTCCACCTCCCCACAGTAGTGTTGAACTCAGTGATTTAATCCAAGGGCAGAGGAATGAGAGAGAACAGCTGCCTTTGCTCTTAACCCCCAGCTTCATTCCTACCATGGATTAATTAAAAAGAAAAAACATTTCTTAAAGGCACCCTATGTTCTAAGCATTATCAGAAAATTAAAATTCTCTATTCCCCTGTCTCTCCTTCATCTGCTCCACCTTAAAAGACAGATGCCCAAGTTCAGAAAATCTGTTCAAGGAAATAGGTCTGATGCTGGTTGTGAGGCTGAGGATACAGGCACCCATACGACAGCCTCCAACCCATTCTCAAACTGAAATTTCAATTTTCTCTCTACCACCTCTGGTACTATAGACCCAAGGCTGGTCTAAGCCAAGGTCCCTCACAACAGAAGCTACAGTGGGAAAAAAAATCCTGCCTAGATCCATAATCAGTGAGAATATCTTAAGACTTAAAACTTGAGTCAGAACAACCTGGCAGTTCTACTTCTGCATACGTATACCTAAGAGTAGTGGTGCTTAACCAATTGTAAATATGCTGTGCAGGGGACATTTGCAGGAGACATCTTTGGTTGTCACATTTAAGGAAGTGCTATAGGAATCTGGTCAGCAGATGCCAGGGATGCTGTTAAATATTCTTTTTTATTATTATTGATTTAAGAGAGAGAGGAAGGGAGGGAGGGAGAGATGGAGGGAGGGCAGGGGGAGAGAGTGAGAGAGGGATTTGTTGTTCTACTTATTTATGCATTCATTGGTTCCTCCTTGTATGTGCCCTGACCGGGATTGAACCTGCAACCTTGGCATATCAGAATGGCGCTCTAACCAACTGAACTACCCGGCCAGAGCCATGCTGCTAAATATTCTAAAACACATAGGATATTCCCCCACAACAGAGAATTATCCAATCCAAAATGTTAGTAGTACCAAGGTTGAGAAACCCTGCTGTACAGAAACTCTCCCATATAAGATACGTGCAAGGATGCTCATAACCTCAGTTAGTGATGGGAAAAACTAAAACCAACTCAGATATCACAAGTAGAAGAATGGGTAAATACAATGTAGTGTATATAAGTGATAGACTACCAGCAATTTTTTAAAAAATGAATTAAACACGGACAGCTTCCAAATGCAAACTGTAGAAAAACATGTACCACAGTTCCATTTGTATAAATAAAAATATTACATATGTTTATGACTGTATACATAATTAGTAGAAATATTAAAAACAGGCTGGAAAGACAAACATCAAATTCATGATAGTGGTTACCTCTGAGGAGAGGGAAGAATTGAACTGAGAAGAATTCGAATGGAACTTCACAGCCCTATCTATAATGTTTATTTCAATTAAAAAAACCAGAAGCAAATATACAAAAGTATTAACACTTATTAATACTAAATTGTGGGGATACAGATATCTGCTACTTTTTTCCCGCCCAAAACAATAAAATTGAGTCACATGTCAGTAATTTTCAACATTCTCCGAAAGTTCTCAGAAATACTGACTGATGACTCTAAGGAAAGCCACACACTTCTTAAGTAAATGGATTAATTTAGTCTTATAGAATTTTAAAAGTCTTTGATAATAATTATTTTCTGTATTTTTATTTAAACCCGTCCATTACAAGTGGGAGTTTCGGCTTTGATTAGAAAGTTACAGTTAACCTTCATATAAACCTAGACCTTTCCAGTCTTCGCCGTCTGCTTGTATCCTCTATTCAACCACCCTAGGGACACAATATTCACCTTAGGCTTAACATTTCCAGTTGTGCACAGAAGGCCTTGTATACTCCCCCTCCTGATTAACAGGCTATTTCTTTGAACTCCTTTTCAGTGACCCGACCCAATTTCCATGACTTGTGGCATTCCCAAGGTCCCTGTATAGTTTAAGCAAGTAGAACTTTGTTGCAATCTTTATCCTTTCTCTGAAGCAGGAGCTTTTTCTCCTAAGATTCCTAACCTTTCATCCTTTCTAACAGTAAGTCCTTCCTGGTTTTCTACTGAATATACACAGTCATGCTCTTAAAATTCTATTGCAACTCTATAGCAGGGGATGGTAATAGAAGGAGGAAGGAGAGTCTGTTCACAGGAGAGATGAGAGGGCTAAATTCATAGTTAACAAAGCAAAAATAGAAGGCTGACAGAAATAACTATGAAATAAGCGAGGATTTATTTAGATGTACCTCTGGGAGAAGCTGAGGCTTAACATAGTGTTCCAAGAGCCATTCCCCTGTTTTCTGTGCTCTTCTCCCATTCCCTCTCACCCAATACTTTGTTTCGAAAGAAAAGAAAACTTCAGATTCTACGTTTGGTTAAAGGGCAGTCTGACTCTGGCCAGTATCCCTGTGGAAGGAAAAGGGGAAGGGAGGGAGGAAGAGAGGGAGGAAGGGAAGGAAGGAGATGGGTAGGTAAGGAGAGGGAGGGGGCGGATGGGCAATTTTCTCAGGAACATCTATGTTAGATCAGATCCCAAGAAGGGGCAGAAGGGTGGGTAAACCGTGTAACTTCTTTATCCCTTAGACTTTAGGGCTGCTTGCAGTAGTCCTCTAATTTCCTTAACCACCGTCCACTTGATGGAGTGAAGGGGAAACATCAATACTGAGTTCAGGCAGGAATACTTCCAACACAGTAAACCTCCTCAGGCCACCAACCCGACCTCCTTCCCGCCTTCAACAGCGGACCCCTCAGTTCCTTCCTGATGCAAAATTCTTAATCCTTCATACATACCCTTATTCTGACACCGATGAACTGTGCCGATGCCCTTGTCCTCCCTATCAACTCACTCATGCTGCCTCCTTTCCCCAACTTGCTAAAATGACTCTTCATTGACTCCCCTAACCATTCCCATCACGGATCAACTCATTCAATTAATTATCCAACTAACCTCTCACTCATTGGTTCCCCAGCACTCAACAGTCCTCTAAAGCGTCAGATGAGTCACCACCCTCGGTGACATATTTATAGGGAACCCTCAGTGACTCCCCCCCAAGACTGCGGGAGATCCATTCTTTCCTCACACTGCCCCTCTCCAGACTCACCTTCTCCTCTCTCTCCCACAACCCCTTCCTCAAGCTGATCCTCCAGTCTGACTCCACTCCCGCCGCTCACACAGACTCCCCGCCCTGACCTTCTCCCGCGCCGGCTACTCTCCTCACGCAGACCCTCACACGCGCGCGTCTCCGCTCCCGCCGGGACCGCCCCTGCCCTCTCCTCACCCAGCTCCCGGGCACGAATACCGCCCCGCTAGCCTGACTCCACTAGCCTTTGCCCGCCCCCGCCTGCCCCGCTCACTCTCCCAACGCGGACTTCGAGGCCTCTCGGCTGGGCCTCCTTCCGCAGCCGCCCCCAGCGGGTACTAACCGAGGCCCTCAGCACCAACCAAACCCACTCCACCCAGCCC